CAGGGGAAGATATCAGTAGTATTTTAATCGGCGACGGGTATCGATCCGGAACTTCTGCCTCGGGATGTTTCTGATGTTATCGTACACTTTCGCTACCGACGTCGTAGTAACAAATGAACATTTGGTACCAGAACGCTTCGATACTATCTGCAAAGCTCCCCACAGAAATGTATTTTTAAGAGGGGAATAGTTAGATATATTTCTTTTCCGGGATGGAAAAGCCAGGTCTGTTTGCCGAATATAGGCGATTTAGTCCACTGATTGCTTCAGTAATTGAAAACATCCAATTAGTAAATCTAATGAACGTTACTAACGAAGGCTCATATCTTTCTGTCGTTGCTATGAGCCATCGGTACGTTAAAGCACACATTTCTGATAGCGTCTACTTTGTCTTTTTCCTTCATCGTTTGGTTTTAATTTGGTTCATTTTAAACTACTGACAAATTTAATGAATTTTTCATTTTATACGATTAGCTGGTGATTCACAACTAGATAGATCGATCACTCGATAGATCGATCACTCGATAGATCGATCACTCGATAGATCGATCACCAGATAGATCGATCACTCGATAGATCGATCACCAGATAGATCGATCACCAGATAGATCGATCACTCGATAGATCGATCACCAGATAGATCGATCACTCGATAGATCGATCACTCGATAGATCGATCACCAGATAGATCGATCACTCGATAGATCGATCACTCGATAGATCGATCACCAGATAGATCGATCACTCGATAGATCGATCACTCGATAGATCGATCACTCGATAGATCGATCACCAGATAGATCGATCACTCGATAGATCGATCACTCGATAGATCGATCACCAGATAGATCGATCACCAGATAGATCGATCACTCGATAGATCGATCACTCGATAGATCGATCACTCGATAGATCGATCACCAGATAGATCGATCACTCGATAGATCGATCACTAGTGGTAAACAAGTCTTTTCGACAATCAATTACCGCAGAGTGAAATGTTATGTGGGAAAGAATTGTCAGTAATTTAAACTACATTACACGGTACATAAAGCAATACATTAATATCCGTGTGATATTAATATGTTTTCGTTTTCAAATTTGAGGTGAGAAGTTTTGTGGAATATCACTAAATAAATCATAAGAAATATTTCAAGATATTTCGTCTCAAGAACTTTCTTTAATTCGACTAAAAATCAAGAAAATTTTATAAAATAACTTTAAAATACACGGTATCTTCAGGCCGATGTAGATAACAGTGGATACTTTTTACATGTCCCACCGTATTACCGATAGGTTTACTTGTGGTCGGCCTTGTTTACAAACTGACCCCACGTGAAGCTCAAGTGTTCACTTTGTAGTGAAGCAAAAGATATAATAATTACATTGATAATGATTAAAACTCTTTTTATTATATTTCATTTTATTTTTGTTATTTTTAATTACAATTTTCTTATTCGTGATAAAGCGAATGGAGATGCCGATGTCTCATTTCAAACCTCAGTGCAATAAACATCTGTTATGATGCAGTGAAATTTAATGAAGTATTGCCACCATAAATATTCATACACTAAACAATACACAGCCTGGAGCTGCAAGCAACACGTGTAATCACAGAAAATAAAACCCTGTAAATAAAGATAGAAATATCTACGAGTGCCTTGGGCTCTCCACCATATAGTCTCTTTTGTAGTATGTTGGTGTACTCTGGTTCATAAGCTATAGGTGTCGTTTGCCTTTACCAATAACGCAAATTAACATGGTGTCAGCAGCTGAACTTTATCGTGTTTTAATTGGGATCTGATTCTGACTCTGTGTGAAGGTTGTGTCATTGAACAAGTTTTCACTTGTTAAAAGTTTAGTCAGCTTAAATACGTCATCATGACGTCATTTAAAAATTAGAAAAAAAACCCAGATACTTTCGAAACCAAAACAAAATAATCAGTTTTATTCTTACCTAGCTGCTTATCTTGAAAACAACATGTTATTTTACACTGTTAAGATGCATAATCCTCTGGATGAAGCCAATGGAGTTTTTATGAATTACGCAAAGCTGGTCTTTAGTTAAATCCACACGCGAACGTTCATGTATTATGCATGGCTCATGTCGCTTCCCCAGCATCAGTAGCTGACTTGATGCTATCACAAGGAAGTGGAGCATTACAAGGCTAACCCGCATGCGACAGGTGGCACTTAAGCAATATTCCGTTAAAAACCTCATAATTTCGTCAATGTCTCTCCATGTCTTCATAACGTCGTAGACATAACACACTATAGTAAAAGAGTCACCAGCTCACCTGACTTCGTCAAGTCAACACAATATTAGACATATCATTACCTGCTCAAATCCTGAAAAATACTAGAATTACCTGATATTTGTTCCTTTATCAAATTTTAAAGTTTCAGATTCAGTTTTTGGATATGATATAGTCAAAACAATGTTCAGACATAAGATAAAACATTATCTCTCAATGATGTTATAACTATACTGAAAACCATGATTAGGTATGTTTTTACAAGGGTTGGCGATGCTGCTAACATTTACAATTTTTGATGGCGGTAGATCCAGGCAGGAGACATTAGTATAATTCAATGGTTCGAGGGAGAAACCGTTCTGTAAATGCTAAAGTCAAGTTTCTTGGTGAATGATGAGTGTCCATCTGTCCTTTCCAAATATATTACATGTGATTATGATAAAAGTAGGTAAAGATATAAGAATATGAAATCGTCAGTGGAAAGATGACGTCATGTTTATTGTTTAAGGTCACAATACCAAGCAAATTACGATCTGGATATCAGCAAGCACCAGACACAGAAAGTTGCTCTGAGGGAAACGTTTTCAGGTATCGTCGGTGCTTATTAATCCCCTCCCCTGAATTCACGATGAAACAATTTTGTTCTCACACTCAAACTGTTAGACGTGGTAGACTAAGGCATCGATAAATACCAATTTAAACGATCGCAGAATACAGACGAACTGTGATAGGCGAAAGAGGGAAAGGAAGGCTACATTGAAGCAATCTTGGTCCTTCCCCTGAAGCTGGTATCATATTTATTTTCATTAAGAATATTTTAGTGACTGATAAAGTGATGATTGAAAATAGATCGATTTTGCGATAAACACAAATATAAATGGCCGTCATAATTAATCATTTCATTTCAACCTTTCCTGTATTTACAAGCACTCCTCTGGGCTTTAACTACCGATATAAAGTATTTACTTTATAACAGGGAACACCCATTTTACCACAAACATTTACCAAGCGTTGTATACCTTCTGTATCACAGACATCATGTCAACAGAGCGTAGTACACGCACTGCATCTCAACACTTCCTCAAACGTTATGTTACAATTATGTATCTTCAGAATTGACAGCTCTCATGACTGCTGTTGCTAACTCAATCAGCACGTTTTAATTAACTGTAAAAACTAGTAATATTCAACAGTGATACTGGGTAAACACTTTCCATTATTGATCAAGTTTGTCGTTGCATTGGTCAAAGGAAATATTGTTCCTGTAATATTTAGAAATATCGACCTGTTTTAGCAATAAAATCGGATAAGATACTCTTCTGGTACGTTTCTTCTGATCACAGTTACCGACGTTAACAACAATAACGCCCCGGATATATCTCTGATAATAAAATGTCGAGGTATCATGCTATTATCAAGTATCTGAAGAAGGGGTTTCACTTTCAACACGGCCCAGGAAGTACATACGTATCAGACCCACCATACTGCAGTGTTTGCTTAATTTTAATGATTACTTGAAAATAAACAATTCAACCAAGAGATATCTGCCATACGTAATAAAATCCCGGGAATATGTATCATACGTGCTTAAACCAGGGAACATGATTTATACGTGCTTAGACACGGGAACACGTTTTACACTTGCTTAAACCCGGAAACATGTTATATACGTGTTTAAACCCAGGAAAAGGTTTTACACGTGCTTAAACCAGGGAACATGTTTTACACGTGCTCAAACCAGGGAACATGTTATATACGTGCTTAGACCCGGAAACATGTATTATACGTGCTTCAACCCGGGAACATGTATCATACGTGCTTAAACCCGGGAAAATGTATTATATGTGCTTCAACCCGGGAACATGTTATATACGTGTTTAGACCCAGGAACATGTTTTACACGTGCTTAGACCAGGGAACATGTTTTATACGTGCTTAGACCCGGAAACATGTATTATATGTGCTTCAACCCGGGAACATGTATCATACGTGCTTAAACCCGGGAAAATGTATTATATGTGCTTCAACCCGGGAACATGTTATATACGTATTTAGACCCAGGAACATGTTTTACACGTGCTTAGACCCAGAAACATGTATTATACGTGCGTCAACACGTGAACATGTATTATACACGCTTTAACCAGGGAACATGTTTTAAACGTGCTTAGACCCGGAAACATGTATTATACGTGCTTCAACCTGGAAACATGTATTATACGTGCTTAAATCCATGAACATGTTTTACACGTGCTTAGGCCCGGAAACATCTGTAATACGTGTTAAAACCTGTAAAACGCATACAAAAAACAAGTATGCTTCAAAACTCTGAAACGTGAGCAGTAAACCTGAACTCGTACGTGCTAACACATTGAGGAACGTGTCGCAGGCACAATATCTTGCTGAAACACTTAGGCTGATACTAATATATATAAATCATATTTTTACATGTATATCTGCCTACTTGTAAGCAATGCCTATATACACGTAGATGATAACAGTTTAAGCAGATAATACTTGTCACCAAGAATAACCTCTAAACACCTACCATGTGAGAACATCAAAAAAACAAATTCCAGTTGTTTACCATTAACAAAAATGTAATTCATAACTAGAAATGTTTTTTTTAACGACTAAGCTCAAACTAAGCTAAAGATAATATTTTCCCATTGCCAATGATACACAACAATGTTCAATCAGGATTACTCTAGGTGACAAGACGAATGTTTAGAAGACATGTATTACCTGTACCACTCCAAACCCTTGTGGTAATGCTTGTCGAAGAAATGAACTTCCGGTCCGGGTGCTCGAATATCCGGATGAACCCTTAGAAAGGTCAAAAGTGCCCTTGTCCCGCATCTTCTAACTCCAATTATCAGAGCCTTTGGAAGCCTTTTAGCAGCGCCTTTAGATATCTTTTGAAGTTTACCACGTTCGTGTGATTTTTGAGAATTTTCGTCTACTTTATCGTAATCATCCACGTAAAATGTATCCGTTTCCGGTAACTGTCCGCTTTGCGCATTTCTATCTGTGTCGGGGAAATCATGGATCATGTATGCAGCTTCTGGTCCGTCGTCAATATCTAGAATAACATTTGACGTTTCACGTTTAATCTGTGTGGGACGAACGCGGGGACTGGTCATTTTCCGCACGTCCGTCATCAATCGTGTGGTGTTAAGAATACTGTTCTGGGGTGGACCGTTATAGGACCGCGTCACGGCAGAGAAAACGTTTAAAATGGCAACAAAAACTATGGTACCAACTCCACAGATACACACGGTGGAAGGGAAGAGATATTTCTTCTTACCACGACGGAATATCCACCAAAATCGAATTTTCTTCATATCAGTCATTCTTCATCCCGGCGCATTAGCCTGGAACGTTGTTATCCTATCCAAGTGTTACACAGGGACGTTCCAATCTCCAATAATTCACAGGTCTGGTCTGCCACAGAGCCACCGTAGAACTGGCGGCACGCACACACCAGTTGATGTAGTCAGTCTTGCAGTCACTGTGTAAACAAAAACAAACGCCGACACAGTATTACAACATAGTAAGTATGTTTCCACGTGCATCTCACGTAGCACGTTTTATTAACCGTGATGTTTAATACACATCGTGTAGACAACCGTAGAAAGTTCACATTCCACGACGATGGAACACGGGGAAGCCAAGTTTTCCCTCCGAGCATGAATCCTGCATTGCCCTCCCCCACCAAACACTGCTGTGTGTTTCCCTGCAGTTTGTCCTTACAAGCGACCACTTGTGTATATTTGGTGGTGCCACTTACCAATTTTACTGCTACAAACTGCACTCATCACGGAGTATCACTCACAAAGTTCCACTTTAGCCTCTTAATACAACACCTTCAGCTCGAGACCATAATCACACAGCCCAAGAAAATCGTAGTAATGCGCAAACAGTTCACAAGTGCTTGGAAAATTGCAGTGAAATTCATTGGGTATTAAAGCTAAAATAATAAAAGTTTACAACAGGAACAGACACGGATCTCGTATGTCTGATGTTTGTCTACAATTCTCACTTTCCTTTGTACCCCAACTTGCCGTCTGCAGTTTAATTAATTATGATCCATTTCCTTGCTTCCCAATATTGGTTTTTATCAGACAAAGCGTTCAGTGACAACACAACCGCTAGTGATAGATTCGCCTGGATACACGCCATTGGCGATTCTGTATGTACACTGCTTGCTGGACCAAATACACAGTTCTGTTAGAGACACATTTCTGAGTCCATTATACACATAAAAGAATTTTGTTTGGCAAATAAATCGTATGTCACTGTTTTAAAATTGCATTCTCGAATTATTCATCAAAGCTGTAATCTTTGATCCACACCACATAAAATAAAATAAGCTTTCTGTGAAGTTAATTCGTTCTCCTAAAAACTGTAATAACTCATACAATCCTATGTAAATATAATTACATACAGTGCGATTTCCTCATATATATATATATATATATATATACACTCACAACGATGTACCTAAACCGTCTGCAACACGAAATGCGAATGTTCCTTCAAAAACATTGTTATGTCCGGTCAATACACTGTACACTACTGTACAGCTTCCACTTGAAGCCTGAATGAAACACGCACCAGACATCTTCAGTATCCTTATTTACCGAGTACCAATAATCCTAATGTTGACGAAAGTTCGCAGTCTGTGGAGGTAATGTGATCAGAGGGGAGAACACATGCTCACTAACTCGTGGTTAATCTAAAACCATCGTCCAGCCCTATATCTGGGGCTATTATAGACTGACCGTCACTATGTAGTACTGATACAAAGCTCTTTCCATGTCCGGTGTTTGTTCACGGACTTGTAAACTCTAACGCGTGTACCCCCTTCTGTTATTGTACGGGAGCTATTAGACAGAGCCGCATATATACAGAGAACCCGTATCTCGTGCATCGCGTTTTAATGTATAGCCTCCGAGCATCAACCCGCAGTGGTTATGGGGCTAGGAGAAAATTATGCGTCGCTTAAAGTCTTAAATTCATTGCTAAGGTTATCAGTTTCCGCAGTGATTATCAGAAATGTACCTAAGGGATGTCAAATGCCAAAAACACGTGCGTCGCATGCAAACCAATTATGCAAGGATTCATTTTCACAAAGAGTATGCAATTTGATTTATTTTTAGCAAAGGTGCAAGCGGCCTTTGGGAGATATTCAATTATTTCCGATAATTGTTTCGCCCGTAAGGTTCTGTAATAAATACATAACATATATAGACAATGCATGCAAATTGACATCAATCAAGTTTTACTACAAACATACAAGCTATTGATTTGATTATATTGCTGCAACTAAATGATCCTCCTCAGCATATCACTGTCAGCAGTTCAGATATTTGAAACAAACAGATCTTACCATACCCGGGTGGTTGAACACACTCCGTACACAGCGAATAAAAGAATAACCTCTATCATACAACCAAGTATTTCATTCGGAATGATTTGTCAAATGTGTTTAAATAATCTATAATTTCGAGGATGACAAATGTTCCAATTTTTCTCTTTTGTCTATTAGCTAAGTGAGTGATCAAATTTCATTTCACATTTTGTGTTCAATATTACTGATTTGGTTCAATGAGCTGGAGTTTTCGACGACCTGTTTAAACATTATTCGGAAATAGTGACAACACATGTTTTATATCTAATGTAGTATGGTAGTTTGTGATAATACTCCAGGTGTGACACTTCGGTAAGTATGTACATATACGTACGTAAGGAATTTTGATCCGTCACTGATTTTAATGTCTATATTTATGAAACCTTTGGACTTTTTAATGTCCTATCTGACATAGAATCATCGTATATAGCGTTTATATGACATTACCTATGATTTATACTCAAACTCATGTGATTTACACTCAAACTCATGTGATTTACAATCAAAATATTGTGTTTCATATGTAACATCTCGTATCTTATACTCAAAATATTCTAATTCTGTCGTATTGGTTAGTACATCCCGCCTGTGGGTGTCCTCTTAAACACCCGTCCTCATATGACGTCCTGTATGTTGGTGTCTCCTTAAACACCCGTCCTCATATGACGTCCTGTATGTAGGTGTCCCCTTACACACCGTCCGTCCTCATATGACGTCCTGTATGTTGGTGTCTCCTTAAACACCCGTTCTCATATGACGTCCTGTATGTAGGTGTCCCCTTAAACACCCGTCCGTCCTCATATGACGTCCTGTATGTTGGTGTCCCCTTAAACACCCGTCCTCATATGACGTCCTGTATGGTGGTGTCTCCTTAAACACCCGTCCTCATATGACGTCCTGTATGTTGGTGTCTCCTTAAACACCCGTCCTCATATGACGTCCTGTATGTTGGTGTCCCCTTAAACACCCGTCCGTCCTCATATGACGTCCTGTATGTTGGTGTCCCCTTAAACACCCGTCCTCATATGACGTCCTGTATGGTGGTGTCTCCTTAAACACCCGTCCTCATATAACGTCCTGTATGTTGGTGTCCCCTTAAACATCTGTCCTCATATGACGTCCTGTATGTTGGTGTCTCCTTAAACACCCGTCCTCATATGACGTCCTGTATGTTGGTGTCCCCTTAAACACCCGTCCGTCCTCATATGACGTCCTGTATGTTGGTGTCCCCTTAAACACACGTCCTCATATGACGTCCTGTATGGTGGTGTCTCCTTAAACACCCGTCCTCATATAACGTCCTGTATGTTGGTGTCCCCTTAAACATCTGTCCTCATATGACATCTTGTATGTTGGTGTCCCCTTAAACATCCGTCCTCATATGGCATCCTGTATGCTCTAGTCCCCTTACACATCTGTCCTCATATGACGTCCTGTATGTTGGTGCCCCTTTTGTGGCCCCGTAAACATTTGTCCTCATATGACGTTCTGTATGTTGGTGTCTCCTTAAACACACGTCCTCATATGACGTCATGTATGTCGGTGTCCCCTTAAACATCCGTCCTCATATGGCATCCTGTATGCTCTAGTCCCCTTACACATCTGTCCTCATATGACGTCCTGTATGTTGGTGCCCCTTTTGTGTCCCCGTAAACATTTGTCCTCATATGACGTTCTGTATGTTGGTGTCTCCTTAAACACACGTCCTCATATGACGTCATGTATGTCGGTGTCCCCTTAAATATCCGTCTTCATATGACGTCCTGTATGTTGGTGTCCCCTTAAAACACCCGTCGTCATATGACGTCCTGCATGTTGGTGTCCCCTTAAACATCTGTCCTCATATGATGTCCTGTATGTTGGTGTCCTCTTAAACATCCGTCCTCATATGACGTCCTGTATGGTGGTGTCTCCTTAAACACACGTCCTCATATGACGTCTCGTATGTTGGTGTCCCCTTAAATATCCGTCTTCATATGACGTCCTGTATGTTGGTGTCCCCTTAAAACACCCGTCCTCATATGACGTCCTGTATGTTGGTGTCCCTTAAACACCTGTCCTCATATGACGTCATGTATGTTGGTGTCCCTTAAACATCTGTCCTCGTATGACGTCCTGCATGTTGGTGTCCCCTTAAACATCTGTCCTCATATGATGTCCTGTATGTGGATGTGCCCTTAAATATCAGTCCTCATATGACATCCTGGCTGTTGGTGTCCCCTTAAACATCTGTCCTCATATGACGTCCTGTATGTTGGTGTCCTCTTAAACATCCGTCCTCATATGACGTCCTGTTTGTTGGTGTTCCTTTAAATACCCGTCGTCATTTGACGTCCTGTATGTTGGTGTCCCCTTACACACCCGTCCTCATATGATACCTGGCTGTTTGTATCCCTCTAAACACCTGTCCTTATATGATACCTGGCTGTTTCTTTCCCCCTACACAGTCGTCCTCACATGACATATGGCTGTTTGTATTCCTCTAAACACCTGTCCTCATATTACACCTGGCTGTTTGTGCCCCCCCCCCCCCCCTCTACAAAACCGTCTTCGTATGACATCTGGCTGTTTGTGTTCCCCTACAAATCAGATAATGTTTCTGAAGGCTGTATATAAAGTTTAAGTCCAAATTATTCTAACGTTCTATCGACTTTTTTTTCGGTGTGGAGTCGATGAACGTTAGAACTCCGGCCCGGCGGATGGATAAACGACCCGCGCCTGGGTTGGTATTCAAACGACAATTGTGGAAAGAAATCGTCATTTTCAGATCCATCGGGGCTCGGACTACACAGGAAACCTTTGTGGTGAGCGCTCGGGGCTCGGGTTTGAAAGGAAACCTTTGTGGCGAGCTCTCGAGGCTCGGGTTGGACAGGAAACCTTTGTTGCGAGTGCTCGGGGCTCGGGTTTGAAAGGAAACCTTTGTGGCGAGCTCTCGGGGCTCGGGTTGGACAGGAAACCTTTGTGGCGAGCGCTCGGGGTTCTGGTTGGACAGGAAACCTTTGTGGCGAGCGCTCGGGGCTCGGGCTAGATAGAAAACATTTGTGGCGAGTGCTCGGGGTCGGGTTGGAAAGGAAACTTTTGTGGCGAGCGCTCGGGGCTCGGGTTGGAAAGGAAGCCTTTGTGGCAAGCTCTTGGAGCTCGGGTTGGACAGAAATTCTTTGTAGCAAGCTCTTGGTGCTCGGGTTGGACAGGAAACCTTTTCGGCGAGCGCTCGCGGCTCGGGTTGGACAGGAAACCTTTGTGTCGAGCGCTCGAGGCTCGGGCTAGACAGGAAATCTTTGTCACGAGCACTCGGGGCACGGGTTGGAAAGAAAACCTTTGTGGCAAGCTCTTGGAGCTCGGGTTGGACAGGAAACCTTTGTGGCAAGATTTTGGAGCTCGGGTTGGACAGGAAACCTTTGTGGCGAGCGCTCGGGGTTCGGGTTGGACAGGAAACCTTTGTGGCGAGCGCTCGGGGCTCGGGCTAGATAGAAAACATTTGTGGCGAGTGCTCGGGGGTCGGTTTGGAAAGGAAACCTTTGTTGTGAGCTCTCGGGGCTCGAGTTGGACAGGAAACCTTTGTGGCGAGCGCTCGGGGCTCGGGTTGGAAAGGAAGCCTTTGTGGCAAGCTCTTGGAGCTCGGGTTGGACAGGAAACCTTTGTGGCGAGCGTTCGGGGTTCGGGTTGGACAGGAAACCTTTGTGGCGAGCGCTCGGGGCTCGGGCTAGATAGAAAACATTTGTGGCAAGTGCTCGGGGGTCGGGTTGGAAAGGAAACCTTTGTGGCAAGCTCTTGGAGCTCGGGTTGGACAGGAAACCTTTGTGGCAAGCTCTTGGAGCTCGGGTTGAACAGGAAACCTTTGTGGCGAGCGTTCGGGGCGCGGGTTGGACAGGAAACCTTTGTGGCGAGCGCTCGGGGCTCGGGCTAGATAGAAAACATTTGTGGCGAGTGCTCGGGGGTCGGGTTGGAAAGGAAACCTTTGTGGCGAGCGCTCGGGGCTCGGGTTGGAAAGGAATCCTTTGTGGCAAGCTCTTGGAGCTCGGGTTGGACAGGAAACCTTTGTGGCAAGCTCTTGGAGCTCGGGTTGAACAGGAAACCTTTGTGGCGAGCGTTCGGGGCGCGGGTTGGACAGGAAACCTTTGTGGCGAGCGCTCGGGGCTCGGGCTAGATAGAAAACATTTGTGGCGAGTGCTCGGGGGTCGGGTTGGAAAGGAAACCTTTGTGGCGAGCGCTCGGGGCTCGGGTTGGAAAGGAATCCTTTGTGGCAAGCTCTTGGAGCTCGGGTTGGACAGGAAACCTTTTTGGCGAGCGCTCGCGGCTCGGGTTGGACAGGAAACCTTTGTGCCGAGCGCTCGAGGCTCGGGCTAGACAGGAAACCTTTGTCGCGAGCACTCGGGGCTCGGGTTGGAAAGAAAACCTTTGTGGCGAGGTCTCGGGTTGCGGGTTGGAAAGGAAACCTTTGTGGCAAGCTCTTGGAGCTCGGGTTGGACAGGAAACCTTTGTGGCAAGCTCTTGGAGCTCGGGTTGGACAGGAAACCTTTGTGGCGAGCGCTCGGTGCTCGGGCTAGACAGGAAACCTTTGTGGCGAGCGCTCGGGGCTCGGGTTGGACAGGAAATAAAAAATGATATTGATAATGGTAAGAATGCATTAGCTTGGATTTACCACTTGGTGTGACATGCTACATGAGCAACATTTTGACCTTTAAGTATGCTCCCTTATGTACGCCATCATCCTTACGTACCGTTATTTGACCTTAGCCTAGCTGTAATGAGAACATAAAAGCCAAACTTATCCCAGTAAGATACTTATCTGGCCATTAATATTCCTCCTCAAACAATTTCTTTTCTTTCTTCGGTCTATTTTTTATGATAAATGATGATATTGCGACTGGCTAAATGTAGACTGCGACGCCTTCCTTGACTGAAGACATTACGGAAGCTTTATATAGTCTTAATGTTTATTGTTTTAGTTGCCATCGCTTGCACCTTTTCTTTAGTTTCGATATCTGCTGGGCTGCTCCTGGTTTATTTAAGATCCTACTTTCTGTCATTTCGTTGACATTACTTTGGTGCTTATTATTTCGTAAAATTTTGCCGTCTCTTAAGACTTTCTTCCATTGTGATCATTTGGGTCGGTGTTGTCATATGGGATAGTTTTGTTTATTATACGCCCGGGCTGACGTAGGTTTTGCTATCACTTAGTCTGGTGTTGTTTTCTTATCACTTAGTCTGGTGTTGTTTGTTATCACTTGGTCTGGTGTTGTTTTGTTATCACTTAGCCTGGTGTTGTTTGTTATCACTTAGTCTAGTGTTATTTTGTTATCACTTGGTTGGTGTTGTTTTGTTATCACTTAGCCTAGTGTTATTTTGTTATCAATTAGCCTAGTGTTGTTTTGTTATCACTTAGCCTAGTGTTGTTTTGTTATCACTAAGTCTGGTGTTGTTTTGTTATCACTTAGCCTAGTGTTGTTTTGTTATCACTTAGCCTAGTGTTGTTTGTTATCACTAAGTCTGGTGTTGTTTGTTATCACTAAGTCTGGTGTTGTTTTGTTATCACTTAGTCTGGTGTTGTTTTGTTATCACTTAGTCTGGTGTTGTTTTGTTATCACTTAGTCTGGTGTTGTTTGTTATCACTTAGTCTGGTGTTGTTTGTTATCACTTAGTCTAGTGTTATTTTGTTATCACTTGGTTGGTGTTGTTTTGTTATCACTTGGTTGGTGTTGTTTTGTTATCACTTGGCCTAGTGTCGTTTTGTTATCACTTAGCCTAGCGTTGTTTGTTATCACTAAGTCTGGTGTTGTTTGTTATCACTAAGTCTGGTGTTGTTTAGGTATCACTTAGTCTGGTGTTGTTTTGTTATCACTTAGCCTAGTGTTGTTTTGTTATCACTTAGTCTGGTGTTGTTTTGTTATCACTTGGCCTACTGTTGTATGTTATCACTAAGTCTGGTGTTGTTTGTTATCACTTAGTCTGGTGTTGTTTTGTTATCACTTGGCCTACTGTTGTATGTTATCACTAAGTCTGGTGTTGTTTGTTATCACTTAGTCTGGTGTTGTTTTGTTATCACTTAGTCTGGTGTTGTTTGTTATCACTTAGTCTGGTGTTGTTTTGTTATCACTTAGCCAAGTGTTGTTTTGTTATCACTAAGTCTGGTGTTGTTTGTTATCACTTAGTCTAGTGTTATTTTGTTATCACTTGGTATGTGTTGTTTTGTTATCACTTAGCCTAGTGTTGTTTAGTTATCACTTAGTCTGGTGTTGTTTTGTTATCACTTAGCCTAGTGTTGTTTTGTTATCACTTAGTCTGGTGTTGTTTTGTTATCACTTAGTCTAGTGTTGTTTGTTATCACTTAGTCTAGTGTTATTTTGTTATCACTTGGTTGGTGTTGTTTTGTTATCACTTAGCCTATTGTTGTTTAGTTATCACTAAGTCTGGTGTTGTTTGTTATCACTTAGTCTGGTGTTGTTTTGTTATCACTTGGCCTACTGTTGTATGTTATCACTAAGTCTGGTGTTGTTTGTTATCACTTAGTCTGGTGTTGTTTTGTTATCACTTAGTCTGGTGTTGTTTGTTATCACTTAGTCTGGTGTTGTTTTGTTATCACTTAGCCTAGTGTTGTTTTGTTATCACTAAGTCTGGTGTTGTTTGTTATCACTTAGTCTAGTGTTATTTTGTTATCACTTGGTTGGTGTTGTTTTGTTATCACTTAGCCTAGTGTTGTTTAGTTATCACTTAGTCTGGTGTTGTTTTGTTATCACTTAGTCTGGTGTTGTTTTGTTATCACTTAGTCTGGTGTTGTTTTGTTATCACTTAGTCTAGTGTTGTTTGTTATCACTTAGTCTAGTGTTATTTTGTTATCACTTGGTTGGTGTTGTTTTGTTATCACTTAGTCTAGTGATGTTTTGTTATCACTTAGTCTAGTGTTATTTTGTTATCACTTAGTCTAATGTTGTTTTGTTATCACTTAGTCTGGTGTTGTTTTGTTATCACTTAGTCTGGTGTTGTTTGTTATCACTTAGTCTAGTGTTATTTTGTTATCACTTGGTTGGTGTTGTTTTGTTATCACTTAGTCTAGTGATGTTTTGTTATCACTTAGTCTAGTGTTATTTTGTTATCACTTAGTCTAATGTTGTTTTGTTATCACTTAGTCTGGTGTTGTTTTGTTATCACTTAGTCTGGTGTTGTTTGTTATCACTTAGTCTAGTGTTATTTTGTTATCACTTGGTTGGTGTTGTTTTGTTATCACTTGGCCTACTGTTGTATGTTATCACTAAGTCTGGTGTTGTTTGTTATCACTTAGTCTGGTGTTGTTTTGTTATCACTTGGCCTACTGTTGTATGTTATCATTAAGTCTGGTGTTGTTTGTTATCACTTAGTCTGGTGTTGTTTTGTTATCACTTAGTCTGGTGTTGTTTGTTATCACTTGGTTGGTGTTGTTTTGTTATCACTTAGCCTATTGTTGTTTAGTTATCACTAAGTCTGGTGTTGTTTGTTATCACTTAGTCTGGTGTTGTTTTGTTATCACTTGGCCTACTGTTGTATGTTATCACTAAGTCTGGTGTTGTTTGTTATCACTTAGTCTGGTGTTGTTTTGTTATCACTTAGTCTGGTGTTGTTTGTTATCACTTAGTCTGGTGTTGTTTTGTTATCACTTAGCCTAGTGTTGTTTTGTTATCACTAAGTCTGGTGTTGTTTGTTATCACTTAGTCTAGTGTTATTTTGTTATCACTTGGTTGGTGTTGTTTTGTTATCACTTAGCCTAGTGTTGTTTAGTTATCACTTAGTCTGGTGTTGTTTTGTTATCACTTAGTCTGGTGTTGTTTTGTTATCACTTAGTCTGGTGTTGTTTTGTTATCACTTAGTCTAGTGTTGTTTGTTATCACTTAGTCTAGTGTTATTTTGTTATCACTTGGTTGGTGTTGTTTTGTTATCACTTAGTCTAGTGATGTTTTGTTATCACTTAGTCTAGTGTTATTTTGTTATCACTTAGTCTAATGTTGTTTTGTTATCACTTAGTCTGGTGTTGTTTTGTTATCACTTAGTCTGGTGTTGTTTGTTATCACTTAGTCTAGTGTTATTTTGTTATCACTTGGTTGGTGTTGTTTTGTTATCACTTAGTCTAGTGATGTTTTGTTATCACTTAGTCTGGTGTTATTTTGTTATCACTTAGTCTAGTGTTGTTTTGTTATCACTTAGTCTGGTGTTGTTTTGTTATCACTTAGTCTGGTGTTGTTTTGTTATCACTTAGTCTAGTGTCATTTTGTTATCACTTAGCCTAGTGTTGTTTTGTTATCACTTAGTCTGGTGTTGTTTTGTTATCACTTAGTCTAGTGTCATTTTGTTATCACTTAGCCTTAGTGTTGTTTTGTTTTCACTAAGTCTTGTGTTGTTTTGTTATCACTTAGCCTAGTGTTGTTTAGTTATCACTTAGCCTAGTGTTGTTTTGTTATCACAGCCTAGTGTTGTTTAGTTATCACTTAGTCTGGTGTTGTTTTGTTATCACTTAGTCTGGTGTTATTTGTTATCACTTAGTCTGGTGTTGTTTGTTATCACTTAGTCTGGTGTTGTTTTGTTATCACTTAGTTTGGTGTTGTTTTGTTATCACTTAGTCTAGTGTCATTTTGTTATCACTTAGCCTAGTGTTGTTTTGTTATCACTAAGTCTGGTGTTGTTTTGTTATCACTTAGCCTAGTGTTGTTTAGTTATCACTTAGCCTAATGTTGTTTTGTTATCACTTAGCCTAGTGTTGTTTAGTTATCACTTAGTCTGGTGTTGTTTTGTTATCACTTAGCCTAGTGTTGTTTTGTTATCACTTAGTCTGGTGTTGTTTTGTTATCACTAAGTCTGGTGTTGTTTTGTTATCACTTAGTCTGGTGTTGTTTGTTATCACTTGGTCTGGTGCTGTTTGTTATCACTAAGTCTGGTGTCGTTTTGTTATCACTTAGCCTAGTGTTGTTTTTTGGGCTACCCTTACTTTAGTAATTCATGCATGAGATCCTGACTAGAATTAACATGTACTGTGGGTTTTAAAGAACCAGTGATGCTTTTCTTAAAGTTGAATTTTTGTTCCGGAGTTTTTTTTATGATATTATTTCAGCCACTCTGCTACATCATCCCTTGTGGAATACAATGACAAGAATGATTGAATTCCTTGTTGGCAATATCTTCTTTGAGTTTGGCGGTAAGATATTCCAATGGACTATTGGCATACCTTTGGGAACAAAACTGTACCCAAGTTTTGGTGTCTTGCTTTTTGTTTTTCATACGATGCTGAATTTATCGAAAGTTCTTATCATAAGAAGGTTACAACAACATTGCCAAATCATTTAGTTCAACATTTAGATTTATTGATGTCTTATCTGTTCACCAAAGGAAATTTATTGGCCCTGTACATCGTATTTACCTACCAGAACAGGAAACCAGACCCTCCTATCTCTGCCGACAGCCTCAATCGTACAACCTCATTTCATTCTGTTATACTGTTGTATACTGTTGGCGAACCATATTAATATCGCCTGGTTTCTCCAAATTAAACTTCATACAAAAATCATATATTATGTATGGGTCCAACATACCGTGCGGACAATACAATAAAAATGGATGATTCCTACGGAAGCCATATTCTCTCCGTATCGATCAGAACAACACGGAAGAGAAGGCGTCGCCATTTGAAGCATATCAGGGACATTTATGACAAAAAGGTAAACGTTGCTTCGGCGCTAAAGGTGTAAAACCCGAGAGAATTCATAAGATGTATTGCTATAAATGAATTACGTAACGGAGTTACATGTGAGAGATACGCCATTTATCGATTTCTTTGTTATTTTATTGTTTTTATTTCTTCTCGCTACACAGTGTTACCATACTGCACGGAATAAGATATAACAGATATTTTAACAGTTTATATACACCACGTGAAAAGCAACAAACAGCTTCTGAAAGCAACTAAATAAAATGGTTAAATTCGTACTTCCGTTAAGCTAGATAAGAAGCAAATGCCTTTTGTTATGTCACTATAATCAACTTAGATGTTTTCACACTTGTTTCATCG